GTTATTCAATGGATAATGCATACACAGCGTTTTCAATGCTTTGAACTGCTGGGTTCTGCAACAGTATAGAAAACTAACTGTAATATTGAAAGTGTTTCAGTCCACTCCAGCAAGAGAAAAATTATAACCACCCGTGACAAGAGCCATAGAAATTCATGCTTCGTTTTGTTTTGTTTTTGTTTTGCTTCGTTTTGCAGATGATATCGCCAGGTTATTACTCCCAAGAATGCAATGCTCACAAGCAATGTAAAGACCCAGTAAAATATTGCCACATGTTTCTTTGCGTCGACTGTTTGAAAGAAAATGTAGCCTGCACACAAAATGGTCAGTGTTGTCCTTCATCAGAGTGTATCTACGGACGTTGCAAGACTGGGGCTACCGCCGGACAAGCAGGTGAAAGAAATTATCTGATAAAAAAGTCTAATTTTTATTTAACCATGTAGCACATATGCGCCCGAGTTGCCTTAAGCTTCTTTACCAAAGCGAGGCCTGGTGCACAACCATTCATATGAAAATGAGTTTAATTTGCATGTGAATGAAAATTCATCTTCATGTGAAAGGATGGGCACCAAGACTCGCTCTGAGAAAGAGGCCAAAGGTAGATCGGGAATAGCCTATTGATCATGTAAATGTTAATTCATAACAGGCGCCTTCTGTGACAGGCAAAGTGACTGCAAAGACCAGGATCTCTGTTGTGTCCGTGAAGCTGCCATCAATCCCGCCATCTCGATTTGTAAGCCTGCTCTAGACGAACATCAAACTTGTGGACCGTACAATCAGTACCGTACACTGTACATTGGTGGTACTGTGCAACCGGCCTGTGGTCCATGCAAGCAAGGATTGACTTGCAAGCAAGTAGGGTAAGGAAAACGTTCAGGAAGTGGTAAAATGAAAAATGGGAATTAGTCGACAAGTAATATGGTTATCATCGTGTTTGTCCTACATGGAAGTTGCTTACATCCAGAGGGTGGTGCACCAATCTCCCGATCGGTGAAACACTTAGAAAGTCGAACTGTCGACTAGATCGCGAAAAACACTAGCTCAGATTCTGGCAATCCYACCACGGTACAATGCCTGTATGGCGTCCAAGTCGACACATTTTCTACTTACCAAAACGGAAAAAAAGAAATTCTTGCCTTGTCCATTCAAAATAGGAAACAAATGAAATTTTAGCGAGCTGGGAAACTATGTTAGTAGTAACCCCAGTCCAGACATTAGAGAATATCAGACCTGAAATTATTTGTTCTCTCAAACTCCTAAAACTCAATGTTATCCAAACAACGACAACTTGAAAGTCCATGAAAAAAATCTTGACAAACTACTGACTAGAGTATTCGGATATTTCAGTTTCGGGTAGCCAGCACCGGCCCTATTATTTTTGTTTTTAATCTATAGCATTGTAATAAATTATTTTTCACTCTTGGATGAAATAAAAGTTGTTTGTTTACAGCACTAATCATTGTATTATTGTTTTCGATTTTACAGTATATTCGGCGTTCATCAAGTTTGTCTCCCAGAAGCAGCTCCGGGTGGAAAGAAGTAAATCAGAGTTGATAACGAACAGACCGCCTCAGAGGCAATGATCATGAAGCAACCTCGGAATTAAAAAAAAAAACTTCCTTGTGTGCAGCCAGCATTGCCGACCTGCAATTGCTTAGCAATAAACTTTTTAAGTGCGCGTCTAATCAGCGTTTAGCTTTTCTATGAACGAAAATCAATTTGTAACAGTGTTTAGTGTATGCATCGTTCACTTAAGCGAGTGTTATTCAAAGGACTTCATTTTGATTAAGTCAAATTGTCTGGTAACTTTGCAACAATAAGAACGGTCTTCTGATAAACGTAATTGAGTGTGTCTTCGCAGAGATACTCACTGCAAGATGTTGAACGACATAATCAAAATAATCGGACCAAACATGCATTTATTCTTAAAATTTCCAGGAGCTAAAAATTTGAACAAATTAAGACTTTCAGCCGCAGTTTCTGCTTTAAATTCAAATAGTTTCCTGGG